GCTAGCTACAGTGTTGCCGTTCGAGAAGGGGTTCACCGCTTGCTTTTTGGTGTGATTGTCAGAAAGATTGTTGAATAAAGCTACTTTTGATTTTAATCCGGCCTCCTATAACAAAAGAGAACAACATTTATATAAATAAGATAAAGTAAAGGTTAATATACAGGGTGTATTGTTCTCCCTCTAAGCTTGGTAAATTTTATTTCAGTTAAGTTTTGGGTAGGAATTATTATTTTGATTCCAGAAAATATGTAGTAGTTCTATGTCCACGGAATATTAGGACACCCTGTACAGAAAACATGCATTTTTGTTGGATAAAAGAAGGTGAACAATTGACAATGACCTTTCCGTAACATTTTGAATCATTGCCAGAACATTTTTCTTGATTTTCTCTACTTTGCGTCAACGGTTTATTTGTTTGAGGATGTGTATATAATGAGCCGGAAAGCTTTCTTTTAATCGGTTATTTTGGCAGTGGCTAGTTCATTTTACAGGTATATGTATATATACCCAACATAAAACGCATATAAAATGTTGGCAAGAGACATCATATGTGGTCACGTCAAAAGAATTATTCAAAATGACCAGCGAACAGCTTTTTCCACGTCCTGTTTATAGAAAAGCAGGCCAAATATTTTTTTTGATTGCCCTCTATATCCAGAATATTGAAAAAAAATATGTTTTTTTCGATACAACTATTAATAGCTTTCATCAAAAACTGAAGCTCTTATATATTCAAGGTTAATATAATCCAATATTTCTGGATAAATCCAGTGATTTATGGAATCCGGAAATTAGCAATTTTACTCAAACATCAATAGGCTTGCCAATCTATTTCTAGAACTCTTTGAAAAATCTATACTATAGTCTATAAAATGAAAAACTTTGAATTTTGACCGTTATTTTTTACCAACATGTCAAATATAAAATCCCTCTGTCAAAAAAGTTACTGATATTCTTTAAATCGAGTGCCTGAACCAAAGACGTTTAAAATAAAGTATACGGAGGGTACCGCTTAAATTCCTGTCCCGATATTGAAGGATGGCTATAGAATTTCAATGCATTTCCTACATAAGTCTATCCTTGGTTTGTAGGAGGTTTGACTAAACAAGGATGAACCTATGTCTTGAACATTCGACTCGATTTTCTGTCCTTCTTCAATACTGGGACGTAAATCCTCTCATTGCTCTTATGGGGAGGCCGTCGTATATTTTATTTAAACGTATTTGGCGTAACGTATTAAACGACTCAGATAGGTAACTCTTTTTACTTTCGTGAAATAGAAAAGGAAAATAATAAAACAAGTGACAGTTCTTCCTCTTCTTGCAAAAATCAACACGAAATATCATAATTCACAAAAGTAAAATGTCATCAGCTTTTGACATTTGTAAATATTAGACCAATGCCGTCTCTAATAGAACAGCCACGGGGCGAGATTTATGACGTCACGCTAGTTAGATACTACGGATTAATAAATATGTTGTAGAATACATGGAAAAAATATTCCTCGTATTTTTGTTTGTATTTTAAAATGATATAGTTTACATGAAATATACATAATATACAGTTAATAAATACAATATAATATACTTAGATTAAGAAGATAATATATATCTATTTATAGTAATAAATACTTTGGCAAATAAACTATGAACCATACAAATGCAGCAAATGTTTTACAATATACAAATAATGTGGTACATAAGATAATGCGTAAAATGTAAAATATATTTTAAATTTTGGGGTTTGAAAATCGATCTAATTTAACAAAAAAACATTCAATATCTACTAATAGTAATGTATTATTATTTGCAATCACAACATTTATTTATATATTATAATGTTTACTGCAATTAATAAACTAATATAAACTTGTCAAAAGATGACCACATATTTTTTTTATTATTATTATTCTAACACAAAAACTTTCTACACTGACTATGGAGTACAATTTCAGCCATATTTTAAAACATTTGCTGCATTTGTATGGTTTATAGTTTATCTGCCAAAGTATTTATTACTATAAATAGGTATATATATTGTATTTATTAACTGTATATTATGTATATTTCATGTAAACTATATCATTTTTAAAATACAAACCAATAATACGAGGAATAATTATTTTTTCCATGTATTCTACAACATATTTATTAATCCGTAGTATCTAACTAGCGTGACGTCATAAATCTCGCTCTGAGGCTGTTCTATTAGAGGCGGCATTGGTGTCAGCATGGCCGCAAGTTGCTAACCTAATAAAATTAACACTTGAAAAGCCCGCGGGAACTGTCAAATTCAAAGTTATTCGTTTTACGGACTATAGTATACGTATATTACAATAAGTAGCCATTAGTTACCTACTTCAAATTTAAGTAGCTTCACTGTTGATGAATATACAGGGTGTCGTAGTGTTCTGTCGATATAGAACTACTGCATAATAACTTATTTTTATTTTTAAAAATACGTAGTAGTTCTATATCCACTACATATTGGGATATTGGGACACCCTGTATAGTAATTCACAGATCTTAACTGGCTAATAAAAAGAATCTAAATTTTTTACTCTGAATTATGAAAAGAACAAAATCGCATTTTTATTATGACTCTGTATATTATTTTATTAAGACAGGCAACACAAATTTATAATCTGTCCAATAAGTCAGGGAAGATTTCAGACAGAAAATACAATTTACCCATCAATTAAAATGACAGAAAACAACTGTCATTGTATTCACTTGGTGGATAGACTTTAGACTAAATGAATGCAATTGTCAAAAAATCACTGAATATCTTTTGCACTGCAATTGTATCTAATTTTTAACATAAGAATGAAACTATTTCAAAAATAAAAAATTTCAACCCTTAAAACTATAGAAAAATATATTTGACATACCATTTTCTTAAACCTATCTTATACTATTTATTCTAAAATAATAAATACACTGCTGTTCTTTGTATCCGCCATTCCAGACTATTAAGCTCTCATACTGATTAGAAATTATTTATAATATCATAAATTCGATAATATTTTTTTAATAGATAATGACAGGTTAAACAGTTATCTTGGAAATCAAGCTGTCTATGTCGTGTTTAATCAGTTTTAGGTTGACGTTTATCTAATAATTAATTCCAAGTACTTATAGGCAATATTCGGTCCTTTTTTTGATTTTTATTGATTGTAATAATTGATAATATTTATATTATCTCGAAAATTTATATATAGGTGAGTATATTTGGAAAATCCATTATTAATTTTAGTTAAGTAATTTATTACTTTATAAAAGAATTTTAATTCAAACATTACTGTCGATAAAAACAAAGGAGCATCCTGTCAACTTGACATAAACAAATTTAAAGCTCTCCAAGAAAAAAAATGTTCCGTTATTGAAAAAAGTTTAGTCCAGTCGAAATATTATTAAAAATATTATTTTAACGCTCATCTAGTTACACTGTGGCCACGCAAATATCGCAACTGCAACGTACAGAGTGGACAAAAGTAGAAGTTTGCGAATTATAACAGGTGGGTAAAATAAAATTATTTTAAGGACAATTTAGGTTGTATATGTTATAAATTTATAGAATCAAACATTTTTATGTTAAATATGACTTTGGTCTGTATTAATTTACACAGTGATTACACGGATGGATTTTTTGAACATTACTTTTTTCTTCTTATCCGTATTGTATGTTGAAAGTAATAATAAAAAAAGTAAGCATTGTCAAAATATTATCAAATATATTATTTTAAATTTCTTAACTAAAATGTGGACTTATGTAATATACAGAGTGGACGAAAATAAATTTTATTAAATTGTAATAGGGAGTGAAAATAAATTCTTATATCTAAAAGTAAAATACGATTTTTAAATTCTACGTCAAATTTCTAAATATATTTTGCATATAATATTCTATACCTAAATTAAGTTGTTTTTGAAATATTTTCAAATTTTATGTCAAAAATGATATTTGCAGAATCAAAAATAATTAAACATTTTTCAGAATTAATTGCATTTTTAGAAATTTTTGTTCCCTGTTGTTCTTTAGCAAAAGTCTTATTCTAGTTAAGTTTTTATTTTAATTTATTAAATATTATACAGGGTGCTCAGAAAAATATGAGAAAAAATAACCAATTAAAACACCAGATCATAAAACTATCCATGACAGACTGTCATTTATAATATGCTGTTAATTGATAATTAATAAATTTTAAAAGTACTTACCACGCAAGTAGACATGTTTGGTGGTTACTATCCAAAACTTTTTAGAAAAATATCACAAAAATTATACAGGCACACCG